ATTATCTGAATTTAAGCTATTGAGTTCAATGTGGCCCATCAAATGGGAAAAACAAAATCACTATCAACATTGTCTCTGTTTTGAGCTTTATGAAATGTGGGTTTTTTTAATTAAAAAAAAAACCAGAGTTACTAAGAATAATAATTGTTAAATTGACATGTCTTATACTGCCCCCCCCGCCCCCAAAATATATATATATATTTTTACAGACAGGGTCTTGCTCTGTTGCCCAGGCTGCAGTGCACAGTGGTGCAATCACAGCTCACTTCAATCTCAAACTCCTGGGCTCAAGCAATCCTCCGGCCTTGGCCTCCCAAAGTGCTGGGATTACAGACATGAGCCACCATGCCCAGCCTCAAAATATATTATTCCATGGGTTAGCTTTTGGGTTTTTTGTTGTTGATGTGTTGTTTTTTTGGTACGTGCCATGTGGCTGAGAATTGAGGATTCCCAATGATTCCTCAAGGTGTATTTACAAGCACAAATTTACTTCTGGTATCAGATATAAAATTGCTAGCTCTACTAAAAAAACAACTAAACAAAGAATATATTTGGGAAACTACTACTTGTTGAAATATATAGGTAAATCCTAACTAAAATGAAACAGTATTTTAAATTCTAATATATTTGCATAACACCCACCATTTTCTATATCCCTATAAAACTGAAGCTGTCAAAATTATGTGTGATTGTGTTAATACAGGTTTGATTACTATTTGGGCCAATTAGATTTTCTCAGTTTGATGGCCACAATTTGCACCCTTAAACCTACTTAGCCATGTTACAATTGGTCATCAGAGTTACTAAGTAAGAGAATATGCAAAAATCAGTGTAAAAACCAATATGAAAGTTACTAGAAGGACAACTCAAAAAGTCATAATCTGGTCAATTCTGTACTGATAACATATTTTTCACAGATGGAGGTGAACACTTACATATATGCAGTTCATTCAGTTTTCACTACAAAAAGTAATATAAAAATATATAATCATTTATAATTTGAGAAATAATTTATATTGAGCTTAAAAATGTATTGACATGTACTCAACTATTAATCTGTTGATTCTAGAAATTAGTAAACTATCGAAGTTAGAACACAATATTTTGAAAAAAATAGAAGAAGAAGTAGGATAGGAAAACACTTCAAAACTTCGGCAATAATGACAGCAAAAGTACTAGGCAGTGGTATTACTAATGTTACAATGAAGAGTATATCTCAATATAATAATCTACCCTCAAAAAGCAGAACAGAATATATATATATATACAGAAATAAAGAGAATGATACATATATGTCTATATGTATACACTTAGATATATATAATATATTTCCTCAAAATACACATACTAGAAAAGCACAAGTTCTAGCTTACGCATGTACCTGCTTTGAGGCTTAGTGTCTATTATATCTAAAATGGATTAAGCACTTAGTAAATACTTGGAGAACTTTAAGAGCAAATACAGGGAATGAGATAAACAATAGACAATTTCTACACTATATAATAACACCAGTTCACTTTTATAGTACTTCTTAACAACACATCTTTGTATTTTTTTCCCTAACTGATGTTAACAATATCCTTGTAATGTAGGGCAGATATTACTACTAACTCATAGATAAGAAAATTGAGGAACAAAAACCTTAAGTAAACTGTAAAACATAATGTACTGAAACTGTCAAAGCCAGTTGTTAGTTCCCAGTTCAGGGGCCCCTCTGTTGGATTATGTTGGCTTTGTCAACCTAAAACACTACAGAATAAATCTTTTTGATGTGAGCTTTCTCAGCAAAAAGAGCTCTTTCTGTGACTATGCTTTTTAACTAGCAAACTTCTCCACCATTAATACTCGGTATTTGCTAATTGGAATTTCTTCTTTTGCCATAAATCCTGAGGGAAATGGTAGGAGAAGCCTGGGAAGGCAGCTAAAATTATCAAGAGAAATGCTTATCTCTGAAGAGTGTTTGCACTGAACTCCCCAGGAAAGTAGGTAATACTTTTTCTCCTACATCTACTTTTATTTGATCTTCCCCAAATGCTTATGAGGTCCATAGGAATTGATTTCATAATTTTTCTTTTACAGATAAGAAAATTAAGACTTGTCATAAGGAAACGAGACAATTCACTTTCAGCTGCTTACCTTCTGAGTCTGTAAATTCTGACACTGAACAATTTATCATAGAAAAAAAGACCCTGTTCTTTAAAATAACTCTATCTGCTTAATAATTTAGTCTACTGGAGAGCTACAATTTTTGCCCATTTGTATTTGCAGTTAATTTTCAATCAATGTGAAATTGTGTTCTGTAACAAAAATGTAATTTTTAAAATTCTAGAATAATTGGGAAGAGGAGGAAAACACTGGTTATTTAGGCTACAGGCTGTTTCTAGAACTACAATTAAAACAAATGCTCAATGTAATTTTTAAAATTCTATCAGTTTTTACCAGCAGAGCCAGTTAAAAGGAAGATCTTTGGACTTAAAATAGGGGTGCCTAATATTTAACT